CTCAGAGTTTTGCAACCTCATGGAATCAAGGGGCCGTTTCTGGCAGGATGCTCTGCTCTGACAATACCTTAAAAATGGTCAAAGAATGCAAACAATGCACACTCTTTGTGATGAGTTGCTGCTGGTGTCAAGGTGCTGATTTTAATATTTAATTATGCTAAACCTAAAATGGTTCCTGAAACTTTAAACACACATCCTGCTTTCTGAAGCAGGATTTGACAAATAAGCTGCTCCCTGGTCTTGAAATACATCTGGCAGTCAAACTGTAAAAGGCCTGTCCAACTGTCATGTGGCAGATTCTTCCCCAGACTTCCTTGAAGTGTGTGGAGCTTCTGCCATGAAGCAGGGACAGCTCTTCATGGTCACTGCCCAGGGGTTAAGTGAAAGAGAGAGAACTACCCCCTGTGGTTTTGGGGTGAGTTACCTCAATGTCTGCTTCAGGATTGTTTCTTTTTGCTGGCTTTGATCCAATTGCTTTAATAGAATGACTTTGATAGACTGCACTGTCCTATTGTACACTATAGACTAGGAGGTTTTTGCTTTTATACTGTGCAGGAAATAATTCTCTTTAAGGTCTTTCATCTATTCAATTGTGTGATTAATTTTCTGTTCATTTGTCATAATAAACAATTCATTTTATAGAAATATTTCTGATTTGCCATCACTAAAACCTGCAGGACAAAGTGATTGAATCACACCTCTATAATTCCTTCAATCGAAACCAAAATCTGAGCCTGAGATTGGATCCAGCCACAACCAGGCTCCTCTCTGAGAAGGAATTTACAAAGCAAGGGGGTCCTTTCTGCCCCTCGTAGCTCAACGAGACGGCTTCTGCCATCAACTTTGTCTGAGCCTTCCACCCCCCAGCCCCAAGCCGTGACACACGGGCATGTCTTGTCCATGCAGTGCAAACATGGACTCCTGAGCTGGTCATTTGTTGTCCCTCCTTGGAGGGAAGAACAAGCCCAATGGCCTGGGGTGAGAGGCCAGTGCTGGGAGCGGCGCTGGCTGTGCCAGGGCACTGCTGGGTGCCCCCACCCTGAGCACTCCCAGCCTTGTGCTGGTCACTGCTGTTTTCCTCTGCAGGGCATTGTGTTGGGCACATCCTGGAGAGCCAAGTGGAAAGCAGATGGAAGCTTTGAGGCCCTGGCCTGAGGAGATGCCCCTGCAGGATGGCAGTGCTGCTGCAGAGGTCAGCTCTGTGCCAGCAGTGCCCATGGCTGTCCCTGCCTGCAGTCCCTGGACAGTCCTGCAGCAGGACTGGCACCGACTGCCAGAGCACTGAGGCTCCAACAACACAGGGCTCTGCAGGACAGTGTGGAAGGGAAGGGAGAGGAGGCCAGGCAGGAGAAGGGCTGCTGCTCCCTGGCTGCTCTGCTCTGCTGCTCTTCTGGGACTCTTTTCTGGCCCAGCTCTGCACAGAGGCCCCGACCCTGCAGCTGCAGAGAAGTCAGAGAGGAAAGACGTGAGGCAAACAAGTCAATGCAGAGTTCTTTATTTATTTGGCTTAAGCACACAGTGAGTACAATTGCCAGTTTGTACAGCCTGTGGGCCAGGCGAGAAAGGCAAACACTGAATTGAAAATGGTGTTTATATATATATATACTTTTTTATATATATCTTTATATATATCTTTATATATATAAAGATTTTTGGGGGTGAAAAAATTCTCACAAAAATAACATCCCTACCAGGAGTAAAAAATAGAGAAGATATGGTGGGCCTTTAATGAAGTCCATAACAGGATTGGCCTTTAATGAGGTCCATAACATGCAGAAGAAGGAGAGTTTCTTGCTTCTGAAAAACACCCAGTTATGAGTTTCCTCATGGCATCCTTGAGCTCCTGGTTCCTGAGGCTGTAGATGAAGGGGTTCAGTGTTGGAGACACCACTGAGTACATGAGTGACACAATAAGATCCAGGGATGGGGAGGAAATGGAGGGGGGCTTCAGGTAGGCAAAGAATAAGGTGCTGATAAACAGGGAGACCACGGCCGGGTGAGGGAGGCAGGTGGAAAAGGCTTTGTGCCGTCCCTGCTAAGAGGGAATCTTCAACACAACCCTGAAGATCTGCACATAGGAGAAAACAATGAAAATGAAGCACCCAAATATTAAACAGGCACTAACTCCAATGAGCCCAATTTCCCTGAGGTAGCCTGAGTGTGAGCAGGAGAGCCTGAGGATGTGTGGGATTTCACAGAAGAACTGGCCCAGGGCATTTCCCTGGCACAGGGGCAGGGAAAATGTATTGTCTGTGTGCAGCAGAGCAATGAGAAAGCCAGTGGCCCGGGCAGCTGCTGCCATGTGGGCACAAGCTCTGCTGCCCAGGAGGGTCCCGTAGTGCAGGGGTTTGCAGATGGCAACGTAGCGGTCGTAGCACATGATGGTGAGGAGGGAAAACGCTGCTCGAAGAAAGATTATGTAGACAGAAACCTGTGCAGCACATCCTGTGTAGGTGATGGTTCTGGTGTCTGTCCTAATTAGAACAGCTGGGACCGATTCATCACGGGATGGGTGTAGCCCAAAGCTGTGTATTCTATAGCCTTCCATGGCATTTCCCAGAAACTGTTATCAGTAGAGGCCCGCAAAATAGGAAGATGTTCCTGTCCTCATACCCTTTTATGGAATTCCCCTCTCTGAGGGAAGGACTGAGCATCCTCATACCCTTTTATGGAATTCCCCGCTCTGAGGGAAGGACTGAGCATTCCTGCCTGAACTGGAGAATATATAAACTTGGAGTTTCGGAACCTTTTCACCACTCGTGGGATCCAGAGGAGGACTGCAGGCCACCGCTCTCAACCAGACTGCAGACCACCACTCTCGACTGGACTGCAACCACCACTTTTCAACCAGACTGCAACCACCACTCTTGACCAGACTGCAACAGCACTCTCACCAACAGATTTTTCCCTCTCCTTTTACTTTGGACTCAGGGGGCCCAAAGAACACCACTCTGTTCATGCCCCAGGGTGCTGGGTTATATGTTTGGGTTTTGTGGGTTAAAACCAATTGTTTGTCTGTATAATTGTACTTATTGTGTTATTTTATTAAATTGTTATTCTGACTTATGATCTCTCTTTTGAGTTGAGTTCATTTCCCCTGCTGGTTTACCTTTAAACCAGCACAAGCAGACACCCCAGTGCTTCTTTCCCTCCATCCCTGAAGCTCTACCACATGAGGCCCTGCTTTACTTCAGCTTCTGCTGCTTCTTCATTGGTTGCCCTCAAGTGCTAAATGTAGAGTTTAGAAGCCCATGCCCGTGTTTTGAAGGTGCCTGTGTGGAGGAGAGATTGAGCAGCTGCAGCCCGAGGCTGGTGTCCCAGCAGAGTCTCTAAGGATGGTACCAGTGGCGCTGGCTGGGGACAGCTGAGTGTGGAAGGCGTGTCCAGCCTCAAACAGGGCCGTTGAAGTCAGTCAGGATGTCAGGCTGCAGCCGAAGCTGCCGAGGGTTGCTGTGAGGCTGGGGAGTCACTGGAAACCTGTGGTGGCCACTTGCCCTGAAGCCTTTTGCCAAAGCGGGTGTAATTGTGCCCACAGTCTGCCCACTTTTGGTGTCCTGGCGGGTGTGGGTGCCTGGGTGAGGAGGCCCAGGCGTTGTGGGTGCTGCTGCTCCTGGGCAGCCTCTGGTGCTGTTGTCTGTGGAGCGCGGAGCCGCTTGGGCAGCAGCGAGTGCACAGGTCTGTCCAAGGAGCCCAGTTCCCTGCCCGTGGTGGCAGCAGCTCTGCGGGCCCAGAGCTCTGGCTCAGGGGGGTGTCATCCACAGCCCCATGGCCTGGGCAGCCGCGGGGGCCCGGGCTGGCCGCCAGCCCTGCCTGTGCCACTGCCCCTCGCCGGCAGCACCCGGCGGATGTGCCACGGGCAGGGCCCCTTGCCCTCCTTGTCCCCAACCAGGCCAGCCTGGCCACCTTGGGGGTGTGCCCACCCTGCTGCTGAGGTCTGGCCTCCAGGGCTTCTGCCACAGGGCTGGGAGATGCCTCGGGAAAGCACCAGAGCAGCTGGCTGGCAGGGAAGGAGGTGGCTGCCTGGGGGCTGCTTATGGCCTCTGTCCCCCAAATCCTGAGGGCCTTTCCCTCCACCCTGCCCCTCGGGGCCTGCACCCAGTCTGTCCCCTCGCAGCCTTCTGCTACCCACCCCCTCCCAGATTCCCCTCAAGGCTTCCCGCCCCCTTGTCCCATCAGGGCCTCCGCAGCACCTCACCCTTTCCTGGCCTCCCAGCGCCCCCTCCCCTGTGGGTCTCTCCCAGCCCCGCCAACCTGCCCGGCAGCGGCGCAGCCCTGAAGGAGCTCCAGAGGAGCCACTCCAGAGGCACTTGGGAGCCCGGAGCAATCCAGCCAGCAACACACAGGCAGGACACAGATGCTCCTTCCTGGCTGGGGGAGGGCTTGTGGCCATCTCCAAGGACAAGGTCCTCAGGGAACCCCACAGCTCCAGCCTCTGCCCCTCCATTTTACTGGAAATGTTGAGGCTCCAGCAGAACCACCAAAGGCCAAGGGGCTTCTGCCCACTTTTGCTGACACGCTGCACAGCGGAGCAAGTGCTGTTGAGCACAAGGAGCCCTTTTCCTCTCTTTCCCAAGGCCCTGTGCACACTGGACACCAAAAAAAAGCTCCCGGGCCTCTGTGTGTGATAACATATTGGTTGTATTCCTATGCTGAGCTCAAAGGAGGTGTTTGCAGGGAAGAGGCATCTTCCCCACAGGCTCAGGTGGCCCCAGGAGATGGAGCTTCCTGCATCAGTTCTCCACAGAGCTGCAGCAGCACAGGCAGACACTGCCCTGCGGAAAAGACCGGGCCTGCCACGCCCTGCACAGCCAGTCTTGGAGCTGCTGGAATCTGGAGCAGGGAGCCGTCTGTACACCTCTTGGCACGTAGCAGTGTTGAATTGCCAGGCCTGCCATGGCGAGTCTGATGTCATCTGTCACGCCTCTACGGGCTGGAAGAGGCAGGAACGGAGACTACCAGAATGGGAAGAATGGAGTTCTCCGTACAGCTCTGATGATGTGGAGCGTTTCACGTGCCAGGTCTGAGACGGCAGGGCTGTCATCAGTCATGCCTTGAAGGGCTGGAAGAGAAAGGAAGAGAGCCAAGGTGAGAGACCAGGGGTGTGGGGACGTGAAGAGCCCCTCCTGCCAGGGCCATCCCAGCCAGCTCTTGCCATGGCCAGAAGGGAGCAGGGCCCAAGGGGATGAGCTGGAAAGTGCCCTCGCTCACCTTGGCAGATGAGCTGCAGCTCTGGCTGCTCCTGCTTCATGGACCTGGCGGCGATCCCTGGGAACACAGAACCTGTCAGGGCCCCAGAGGCACAGGTCCCCTGCAGCGGCACTGCCAGCCCGGCCACACGGCCTCCTGGCCTGGCAGGGCTGAGCCCGGGGCCTTCCCGCATGGGGACGCCCCAGGGCTGGGCTGGCACAGGGCGGCAGCAGGCGCCAGGCCACTCGGGGCTCCACATGCCCTGGGCCGCATCCTGCTGCCGCTGCAGCAGCCAGGGCTGGGGCCGAGCTGCAGCAGGATGGGGAGGGACCCTGGGCTTGTGGCTCACCCAGAAACTTGATGGCCAGCTTTCGCAGGGGCTCCTCTGGGCTCTGCAGGTACAGCAGGGCCTGGCGCACGTACTGGTCCACTCGGCTCCTGTCCTTTTCCAGCTGCAAAGAGCACCAGGGCACGGAGGGAAGGCTGGGCTCAGGCTCTGCCCCTTGGCCGGGCGCTCCCTGTTCCCAGCACGGGGCTCCCCTGCCCGCAGAGCCCTGAGGCCCGTCCAGCAGCCGCTGGGACCGGGTTTGGGGGGAGCAGAGGGCTGGGTGCTCCCGGGGCTGGGGCTTTGGGGCCGTCCTTACCAGGCACTCGGGAAACCTC